TTTAAGATGGTTTAAGGATTCAGGGTACGGGTGGGGTTCAAGATTTAGGGTATTGGGTTCAGGGTCCTTAAACCCTAACCCTAACCCTTCACCCCTAAACCCAACTCCTGAACCTAAACCCCAGTTCAGGGTTCAGGGTTCAGGCTTCCGCCGCAGGATTCCGTGTTCAGGGTGCCCAGCTGGAGTCTCGGGAGCTGGGACTTGGCTTGTAGAATTCCCCGATCTCCACTTTGCCTCTGAACCTAAACCCCCCTCAACACCCCTAAACCCCGTAAGCCCCAAACCCTCAAGCCAAAATCCTAAACCCATAAGCCCTGAAACCCACCCTCGGGCAGGACCCGGCATCCATCAAGTGGGGAGAGACTGGGGCGGACTACGTCCCTCGCCTGCGACAGATCATGAGGGTTTCGGGTTTAGGGGTTGCGTTCCGATTTGCGGGTTTTAGGCCTACGCAGATGCGACTATGGCGGTTCCTCTTGAATCGCAAAAGCATGAATATGTATAGCATGAGGCATCCACAGAACTATGCCTACTTACCCACCTGTCCATCTGTCTATCTGTCCGTTTGATCTATCCACCTACCTGCTTCTTCATGTCTCTCTGTATCTATTTACACATGTCCATATGGGTAGTTCCCTAAATTACGGTACCCTTTATGCCACCAAACTAGTATGGCACCTTTACTTATAGAACTACCCACATGCTGGTGACTTGCTCGTGGGTTGGCTGGCTGCATGCCCGCCGGCCCTGCCTGCCTTGCTTGCCTGCCTTGCTTGCCTGCCTGGCCTGCCTGCCCGTCTGCGTTTATGTATGTATATACATATGCATATATATATATATATACACATACAGTATATACACATGTATACATATACATATATATATATATATATAGCTAGTTACATCCATACACGTATCTGTGTGCTCTTCAGCTTTTTTTTTTTTCTCTCTCTCTCTCTCTTTCTCTCCCTTTCTCTATGTTCGCAGCATCTACGCTTATGTCCAAGAAAAGCCGAGGCTGGCCCAGGAAATCAGGCATTGGATCATAAGCTCAAGCCACCGTATCACAGGATGTCCCAAGGCCTTCGGAGCCCTTCGAAGCGTTTCCCAGAGCCCTGAGGTCAAGGGCTCAGGAACTAGCCTGAGCCGTAAGAGCTTACCCGGGGCCAAGTCTGAATCCGAAGTGTGGCACCTCTGTAGGTTTGCGAGTCCACCGGCGCCTCGGCTTGCCTTTTGGAGTTCAGGGCATGCAGTGTGAACTTGTTTTGGTATGAGAGAGAGAGATGCGGAAGTTTGTGTCTGCCTGCTTTCATTGTGTCGTAGTATGGGTGAATGAGGGGCTTTGGAGGTTTTGGGTCTTTACGCCATTCAGCTTCCGCAACCCGAAGCTCTAAACCCCAAACCTTAGACCCTAGACCCTAGATCTTAAAGCATATACCCGAAGCCTTACATAATTTAGGCTTGAAGCCCAAAGAGACGACAGAACTCTCAGGGCTCGCGGTTTCGGCCCACCTCTCGTTAGCTGATATGCAGGGTTTGCCAGCATCTTGCAAGGTGTTATAAGGTCTAGTGAGGGGGTTTTTGAGGCTTTTAGTATTTGGGGTTCAAGGGTCTTTGGAGCCTAGGGTCTAGGCTTTATTTGTTTTTCGGGTGTGATGTTCGGGGATAGGATTGTAGAGTGTCTGGGTTTCTGAATTTGAGATTCCATCTACGGGGCATGGCTTTTCAGACTCGAGATTCTTGAGGCTCCGTGGGTTTGCCTCACAGAGCACATCTGTTGCTGTGGGTTTTGCGGCGAACCTGCTCAGGTACTACATTAACATTTGATCTAAACCCGCAACTCAGGTGGAAGCTAGTAGTTCAAACAATTACCAATACTATTGTGGGGGTTCCTTACCATAACTACATAACTATGGTATACTATACCCCAAAACCCTATTCAAACTATGAAGGCCCCTGCAGTAAAGCCGCCCCCGTCCTAATACCCCGCGACCCTGAACCCAACCCCTAAACCCTAAACCCTAAACCCTAATCCCCCGCGACCCTGAACCCAACCCCCATCCGAATTTTTCTCGCTGCTCTGACCCAGCTGCCCTTTCGTCTTCGACGAAAGTGCCTTCGTCCCCGGCCATGAAGATGAGGTCGGCTTGCTTCGGATCGATGTGCGTGTTGTTTTTGAGGACTTTTCCGGATTTTTAGAGGGGATAGACTCCTGAGTTTCAACGATTTTAGGTCATCGGTTTGAGGGGTTCAGGGGTCTCTTGGGTTTAGA